TCTCGGGTTGGCAAAATATCGAATGTACCGGTATTTTCAAGTGCTGCTGATCCAGTGAACTGGTGAATTCATGACTGGACAGAAACAAGGAGTACCAAAGACAAGTGTAAACAGGCAGGTCCATCTCTTCGTACTGCAGGGAGTGGGGCCAACATAAAATATAATTCCCTGCCCTGGAAGTCTTGAAAAACATCCTGAGAAACAAGAATAGTTTTAACTGGTCGCATTTATAGACACTGTTAAAACCATAATAAGCTGGGTGTTGAAAGAAATATGTCATGGGAATAGTGACAGTGTAATATAACTTGTCTCATAATTGACAGCAAAATTACAACATGCCCTCCATACAGAAATCTATGTCTTCCTTTATCAAAATGTATAATGCATATTATTAAGGAATATGAATTTATAGTAGATATTGTACAGGTTGTAAAGAAACGGCTTCATCATTCATGTTTATTTTCCAATTGGAGCAAGGTGACACCTTCCTGGAAAAAACTTCAAGGCTAGCTTCAAGAGAAAATTGAATTAAGACAATTTTTCGAGGCAACATATTCTTATTGATTTTGTCACAGAAATAACAATCAATAAGAATAATTCTAATTTGTTCCAAATTTTATCATATGCAAGTACAGATCCATTAAGCACATGTAAATGTTGCGTTTCTTGCAGCAGGAAATATTCAAACATAATATCCTTATAAATGTTCAGCCATTTTAAAGTGCAAGTATCATGAAAAATAGCAATAGATTTTTCTTACATAAGTATATAGCCAGTATGATGCACAATACGATGATAGAGAAAAACAGTGTGTAAATGTAAACTTAGCACTGTTGTGCTTAATTAAAAGTATGTAGTTTTAGGTCTGTATTTGTAAGAACCCAAAAAAATCATTAAAGGTTAACGAGGGGTGGTGGTTTTATAAGTACGTCAAGCTACGTCTGCAAGCTGATTGGGTATCACCACCAACCGGGTACAGAATACATGTATACGCGATCGTTTCATTAGTTGTGGGGAGACTTGTATTGTATATATATTACTGGTATGGATTCAATGGTATGGATTCAATGTATGTCATTGTCAAGAGCATAGCTAGTGGCGGCGTGTTAAGTAACCTTGAGTTAAACATCAAACATACAATTATACCATTGTAAAAAAAACAAAAAATTCTATTTTAGGGGAATGAGCTAGCCCCACCTACCTCCATCCCTAAAGATAAACATTGATTGATCTTTGTGGTCAATTAGCACTTATTAACCACAACAGTATTTGTCTCACCTTTAGCATCTCTGATCCTATTCTGTGGTTTTTGATATTGCAAATTACCCGCCCATGATTTTCCTAAACATTGTACCGACCAATCAAATGTTGAAAGGGAAAGGGTAAGGGAGGTAACCTTACCTAGAAACCAAAGCCACTGCCAGTTTTAATGGACTTGAAGACATCCTTACCTTCAAAAACAATACGAGTGCTTTCTTTTGCGTGTCAGTCAGTTTTTTTAAACTTGATCATAATCAATGGGACTGGCCAACCCAACATAGAGGCTGGTTTGTAACAAGCATAGTCACCTTTTACAGCAAGCGTGGGTTGCTGAAGACCTATTCTACCCCGGCTCTTCACAGGTCCATGTCACTCATCTCACAACCTCTGCATGACGTCAGTAGATCATTGCATAATGTACGCCAGCAGTCACTCCTGATATCACAAATCTTTCAGCCATGTGTATAGTGTTATGTAACACATCAGCAAGTGACACTGATTCACAGCGTCTGTGACATGTTGAGGAGATATACCAAACAGATTAACCAATCTGTGTTTTGGTACTACTTGTGATCCATGCTTCCAAGATGGAGATCATCCTGGTTATCTTCGTCACTATTGGTGGTCACAGGTTCACATGTGCAGGGCTTCACTTGTACCAATTCATCTTCCGAGGGGCGGTCGGGTAGCCTAGTGGTTAAAGCGTTCGCTCGTCACGCCGAAGACCCGGGTTCGAATCCCGACATGGTTACAATGTGTATAGCCCATTTCTGGTGTCCCCCGCCGTGATATTGCTGGAATATTGCTAAAAGCGGCGTAAAACCAAACTCACTCACTCACTCATCTTCCGAGAAACATTCACATTCCATGATAATTCGAAAACTTTTGTCACTGTCAGAGTTCATATCAGCAAGTTATGAACGATTTGAGCTCACGATACCGAAAAAAGTATGATCGATGCTGCATCATTTTAAACACAGAAACATCTCACAAGAAAATAAATGAAAGTACCAAACCGTGAACAATATAAGAATCAAAGAAACAGCTTGGCTCACACATCACCAAATAGTGAAATCAAGTAGTGATATAAATGGTCTTTATCACATTTCCACTGTTGAAAGAGGAGTATATTTAAATCCTTTAATCCCACTCATCTGAAGGAAAGTACAGTGTACAAATGGTCATTGTTCAAAGGACAAGTAAAGTCATCATTACAACTTTGTAGATTTTATTTTAGGACATACCTAATAGCAAATACTTGACCAAAATTAAATTTGAAAAACAGAAATAGCGTAAAACATAAAACAAAACACTAAAGGGGCAATTGTCCCCATACAAAATTTTCCTCCACTGCGGGGATTCCCCTTCCTGGAGGCTAAAATGGATTCCCAGAGTTCAGTGGGTTCAACGATTGGGCCGGTGCCTAGTCTGCGTGCCTATATTGTCATAGGTACAAAATCACCCAAGCATGGAAACAGGAAAGACAGAAGGGGATTGAGGGGCATCTCACATATGACACAGCTAACTGGTGAACTATATTCACACACACTGTACTGTGTGACAACCTTTAACATATATATCAATGCGTGACTGAACATATTAATCATTTAGTACGATTTGGGCTATAAAAGTAATTACAGACAAGATCCAGTATTCTAATGGGCCAAATGCGCAGGATGATATACAGATTATTTCCAAATCTAAAAGAGATTGGCACTTGGCTTTTGCCGGATACAAGTTCTTGATTAAAACCGGACTTCAAACATCCATTCATTGGAAAGATTCCCCTAAAGGATGCCCAACCACAATTAACCATGTTAACACCAAAGATGACTTTGTCATGAAGCACAATAATGTCACTGAGCAGCGAGTCCACGTCAACAAATCATATCGAGGGGTGGCATCCAAATCTATACAAATTCAATGACAGACTGCAGGTCACAGTCCACTTAGTTTGATGCCACCAAGGAGAAGATCTTGACCATGCCCGTGAGAAGGAGGAGAAGAGACAACTTCTCGCCAACCAGATATCACAATTATCACAATGCTGTTTCACTTTGAGTTGGAATTATATACATTTGAGATGTGAAGGAAAAATGTATTTTTGTGTCACAAATCGTTATCTTTGTGTTACAAGCATCCGCCAGTCCCGTACAGTTTTTCAAATGAAACACCGGCCTACCATTAGAATACAATACCAAACCAGTATGTGATTTTGTACCCATCAAATTTTTCCTCAATTTTTTTACTTTAGTTTTTAAACTATATACTTGTCCCCGACCAGTTATCACCTTTTTCCTGGTATTTCTGAAATATTCTGTGTACAAACATAACTGTGCCAATTACTCTGATTTGTGTGAAACTATGAGCAAATAAGTGGTGGGATGTTACACCGATGCATCGGTGAATCGTGATATTTTACACATCACAGTCACACACTAACTAAAAAATATTGATTCTTACCTAAATTTTTGCTTTAATGGCTGTTACACCAAACACTAATTAGTAGTGAAAAGTAAATATTTTCATCCATTGCGCCATACCTGACACTGGCAGCTGTAAATCGTCAGTGTGCCAGGTATTTGACTATCCTGTCTATGAAAAAGATGGCTTACGCACCAGAGATAAGAGAACATACAAGTATCGTGATACGTATCAGATCGTGAACAAGGTATCGTGATATGTATCGGATCGCACAGTTGGTGTATTGTCTTAGCCCTAGAGCAAATGCGCATATTTCTATCAATGAAAATAGTTTCAGTAGATTTCTGTTATAATGCGACAATAAGGAATCAAAACAGTGGAAATAGAAAATTCCCATCGACCAATTGTACCAGTTATCGTCATCATCTAAACAACATGTTCCATGTGATCACACACCCCGCTTCAGTTATACAAATAACGTTTCCTATTTTCTTTGGTGTCGCATTAAATTTTTATATTTATGACAAAATTCTTTTTTCAATTTGGTGTCTGCAAACTGACGTTAACCAATATTCCCCAAATTCAATTTACACATGCTTATACCATGTATACTCCACACTATGTACCATATGATTAAGTATACTATAGATTTTGCAAAATATACAGGGTTATGCATTTTTGGAAAAATATAGCTCAAGTAGGTTTCCGAATTGTATTTGGGGAAGAAATGACAGACAAAGCTAAGACAAAACTGAATGTGCATCATCTGTTGTGATTAGTCACTTGACACCCTGCCTGCGTGTCTTTTCCAAAGTTGTATTTGAACAAGGTACTATATATGGTGTGTTGTTTTAATATTTCCCCACAAGAATCAGTTTTGTTCATCGTTTTGGGATAAATATTTCTCTCTTCTAATGAAAATGAGCAAAAACAAAGTGAGATGCGATCACATGCGTGTTGGCAATAATTGGTCCTCAGCCATAACTGGTCGCTAGGAAGTACAGTTACATTCTTTAGTCAAACTTTATTGACATAATACATCAATATGATTATTTACATAATACATCAATAGGCCTGGACGGGAAATATCGATACACAACGGGCGTACTGCAATATGTGTACCAGTTATATCGCGGACCCCTGTGTCCGGTAAATTGCAGTCTCACCATTATTTTTTATTTAGTGTTACTCTACGTGATCGAAAACTGGACAATATCTGTTTTGAAGCGCGAACAGAGAGTGAACCCCACAGATCACACAATTATTTCCAGAAAACCCCTGCAGAAATAGAACTATAGAAACAGTGGTAATCTTACCTAATGTCACAACGTCGAAGGATTTGAAATGAAAAACCTTAACTCAAACATTAGTGTAAACAATCACTTTTGTTTACCGCATGTGACTAAAATGATGAAATAACTTCTCCCGCCATTGTGAATACTAAAATAGAGAACCAAACGTTAACGGCGGAAGATTTTTTGATAAACACGGCGGGTGTGATCAAATCACTGAGAAGATACGATTAGTGGGAACGCGGAACCTGATTAACCACGAACGCGACAAGGAGGCGATTAAAGAATCAGTTTATTCTCAGAAACCACAAAAGGTGGTACAAGAGCATATTACAATATATAATTATGCATATGTACAAAAAGCAGACAAGATGGCAATTAATAACAACATGTGGTTACCTAGCATTTTTAATACTAATGGACATTTTTACAATAAATCTCGATAATTTTTTTAGATTCTGTGCGTTTGTTGTTGATAAGAGTTTTACAAATTTTATAATATTTGGCCATTCAGTATAATATGATGAGAGAAATGTTCGCCTCTCTCTTTAAAAATAATTACATCTGAATAAGTAGTGAAATTCATCAGCAATAGATGGGGAATTACATAATTACAAGTTCTATTTTCCTTTGGAATATTTTTCCATCGGCCAGTCTCATTAGGTAAATTATTTCAGGTTCGAAATCGTAGTATTGGAATTGCTATTCGTTTTGGCAATAGAAGATATTTATCGAGAACCGGAATGTCCTTTAAATGTTTTTAGTATAAGCCTTTAGAACTAGAATTAACGTCACTTCTCCATTTCTGAAAAAAGTGATCTTTAAGTATTTGCTCTACTTCTGACACTAGCCACTTTGTTGTGCAAATTGACGGATTGTTAAATACATAAGATAATCTAATACTGTCTAATATATCAGTAACACATCTAACCCAGGGATTTGTTGATGCAATAGTCTTGTTCCCATTAATTGACAGATATTGATATAACAGCTGTGAAAGTTTATACACACCAGTTTGATATGTTAATTTGTGCCAGAAAGATATCATTCGTTTACAAATTATTATTCTTAATGGTAGCCTACCTAATTAGCCATATATCATATAACGAGGAGTTGAATTTCTTAATCCTGTGATGAGTCTGAGGAATTTGAGGTGTATTCTTTCTATAATTTCTAAATTTTCAAAGCCCCAGATTTCTGAACCATATAAGAGCAACAAAATATTTGTTGGGGTAGGCAGGGTTGGGGGTAATGATGATTGTCCGTTGCGTCTTTGGATTTTTTGCAGTTTATTTTCTTCCAGTTGTTGATAACATGCTGACGTTTTGGTTTCTTACTAAGAGATGGTCGGGTCGGTGATTTAAAAAAACCTAATCTGTCCCCGAAAAGTCTCGAAAGAAATAATCTGTCCTCCAGGTTTTACCTCAAGAAATAAATCGTGCTGGATGTTCTTATAAATTTGGTTAAAAGATGGTACTTGTTGTTACCCTGTCTGGCGCTCGGCATTAAGGGGCTAAAACAAGGATGGTATCTCAGTGGGCTAGCACTATAAATCGGCATCAGTCCGGACTAGTACAAGCAGCCACACACAAACGTGCATGCACGTCGCTATATAAGTGCAATAATCTTGGATGCGACGTAAAACCCCATTTCACCCCACCTCACCTCTGATATATTTGATTTTTATACAGTTAATAATAGATGAATAAATAAATGACACAGTGAATAAGGGGGGTCGCCAAATTTTATCATAACCATAGGGGGGCGGGGCTCATGAAAAAGTGACAGTTCTATACAATGCATTTTTTTTACATGTTACATACATGTTGGACTTAGATCTATGGAACGACTCTGATCCGTGGCGGATTCTCAGAACTATGATCTCCCACATATGAGGCAGATAAAGGCGCAAAATCAGATCGATGGCAGATTATTATATAATATTAATAAATGGCAATTCCTATAGCGCTAAACGTCGTATAGATTCATATATTATTTAGCGGCAGACTTTCTATGATCAATGTGCTTTCTCTGGATTACTTGTATCATTTCTCCATTTGAGTGAGTTGGGTTTAACGCCGCCTTTAACAGTATTCCAGTTACATCACCGCGTGTCAGCTTCATGTGAGAGCAAAGCCCGAAGTGATGCAGGACTTAGACGTTTACCACTTCGGTGAAACCCACGAGCACGGGTATGGTGCTGACAAACCTAGAAACATAATCGGGGCGAACCGGGATTCGAACCCAAAATCATAGGTTTCTGGCGTGCCAAAGGGACGCAACTCTGCACAGCAAAATGTGGCGCCTTAGACGACTGGGCCACCCGTGCCCCTCTCCTCTGGAACAGCATCGTCGGTGCCGGGATTGTATATCGGTATTTTTCTTAAAATAAGTTCCCCGAAGTTTCATCATAGAGACAGTTATCTGAGACCTTCCGTACCATCCTCTGATTTCCCGGAGTTGATAAAATCCTGAATATTTGCATCTTCAAACTCCCTTTAATAAAGCGGATCTTCAAGGTTCTGGAATTATAAAATCAAATCGAGAGGGAGAGAATTAGTTGACATAGAAAAAATTATGGACTTGCGGTCGATTGAGTCGATCACTCAAAAAGAAACATTTGTTTAATTATCAGCACAAAAACTGCTACACATTAACAAAACAATTCTCTGGTCCTGCATGATGCAGTCTGTGACAGTAAGACCTTTCTGTTATAAAAGTCATACTACATGTATTATCGCGCCCATTATTTTTGCGATTTTAAAGAATCATATTTCGTGTTATATTTCCCATCTCATTTCTCACAAGGGAGTAACTGTTTCTCTAAATTACTGGAATTAATGTTTTTGTGCTAATTATCGAAGCGCGATAAATAGAAAAATCCTTTTTCATTTGAATATACGAAATAATAAACATGTTCGATTCTGAGAGACTTGTTCCTTTTTATTCACTATGATATAGAATGATATATCCTGCATAACATCCAAACGGAAGTAGGTCACGATGATGCTAATTTGCATATCAACCTAGCAGCAGCTTCCTCAGCAACCAACTGGTCAGGGTCTTGAATTGTGATTTCCGTGACTTTCCGGATTGTAACGTTTGTCTTTGATGGACCGTCAGTTATAAAATTGTAAGTGGACAATATTCTTTATTTTAGCGTTAATATATAGCTTACACAGCGGATCAGCTGAACGCCGGTAGCGGGTGTAAATCGGCCCCCTACGAACAGTCGCCTATTAAAGTGACACACATCGCATTTACCAGCGTATTGCCGGTGTGTGGGCTGTCTGCTTCGAAAAATCAAACTTTATTTCCTCATCGTCTTTTTTATATATTTATATATTTATTTATTTTTCATAGTCCACTTGAAACAATTTATTAATCCTATTCCCAAATATCCCAATTTGTAGAATAATTCTGTATAAAGTAAATAACTACCTAAGACATGTAAGATGTTGCAGATTTTTCTATTAACAGTTACGATTATTAAGCCTATTCTTGCATGGGATAAAATTTTACTAAATCTGATGTTCTGAAGTCTCAATCTCTGTCAAAAGGTTTTAAAATGAATACTTCTGTGGCCAATTAGGTACTGCAATTCCCTGTGCAGAGTTGCATCCCTTAGTTGTGCCAGGATCCACAGATTTCACAGATTTGCCCTGTTTATTATCCTTGATTTGTCACCACCATTCCTGTCTGTTACCTGTGAGTCTGTCACCTGCATCACCCTGTTCTGTAGTCACTCCTTTAGATGACATGCAAAATATAAGTGAACTATTGTTGAAAGCAGCATTAAACCTAACCTACTCACTCACCCACCAAACATATCTGGAATATTGCTGGCATAAAACAACATTCATTGCATCCAATTCACATTTTTTTCCATTTTTTATACTGAGATCAATGAATTCTAAATATCGAATTTAAAAGATTGAAAATTAAATAAGATTTGCAAACCCCACATGACTGTACAAGGAAAGTATTATTATATTTTCAGCCTTGACAAACAACATTGTCCAAGCTTGTCATCTGTAACACAGACAATAACAGTGAGTACCAAAATGGGTACACTTTTTTTTATGCCTCCTCACGAATTCTTTTGACACGTTTGTCAGGTAGAGATTACTTGGCGCAATCCCCCACAACAATCCCCTGGTTGCCCTATGAGGGCAAGCCTCAGATAGGCCACTCAGAAAAAAGGTACCTGCGTCATAAGCAGATAAATCCGCTATAAGTGGTAATCTGGCAAATCTCTTGACAGCATTGTTAGATTAGTGAAGACTGGACCGGGATAACACAGCCTACAGGGGACTTGTACCTCGGCTGGGGACGGGCAAGGGAGATATTGAGGCACGCTGGAGATACATGCTTGTGTATGGCTGAACTTGTTCAAAAACTGTTGAACGAATCATCAGTAACAAATCATCAGTAACATTAGATGAGGCTTGGAAGTTTGACAAGGTTTGTTATTTTGAGCTATATTCATTTTTGTATGGTCTGTATGCAATTTGATGTTATCAGTGAAAAATGTTATAAGAACTATTTTTACATTTCTGTACAATTATTTGCTCTTGAGGTTCTCAGTTTTATTTTTGATGTCGTGATTATATCCAGATATTATATTTTTGATATTTTTGAAGGTTTGTAATATGAAACATGTTTATATTCTGCTTGAATAAGACCTGGTGGGTATAATGGAATTCTGCTATGCATTAACACTGTGACTGTTTAACTGTGTATAAATCAAACTTATCAGATTCTCGGCCAACACTAGAGGGATTCTTGATTAGTTATTTATTTTGGTCTAGGCTGCACGGGCCAAACTTTCATGAATACAGTCTGTTCATTAGTGATCACTCTCTCCAAGGTCATTTGCTAAAGACCAAACAGGTATACATTGGCTTTGTATGGCTACAAAAGAAATATAGGTTTTCTCACATAAGTAATTTTCATTTGAAGAAAAACTATGTTCGGTGGTGAAATAGAATCATTCCCATGATGTTATACCCCCAGATACCATGAATCAGAGAATTTAACTGATACTTAACATTTCATGACTGTACGGAAGAAGCCAGTTGAAACTGGACAAAGAGTTCAAGTTGTGGATGTGGAGGTGAGGGTGAGAGGAGGGCTGGCGACACCTTCCATGTAAAGCCATGCAGGGTTTAAAACATTTCAAACTGAGTGCCCATGGTTGGCAAATTAGTAAAACATTTTTACTGTGTTCAAAATGGAGATTATTTAAAAGTTATTACTTACCTTACTTCAGAGGTATTTAACATTGAATTTTAGCATTGCATTCAGTGCAATATTGTCAAACGAGGAATTAAAGGTTCTTCCTCTATAATTGTCCTGACTCCTATTATCCGTGAAACGCTTGCTCCCCCTCCAACCCAAGCCCAAATTTTACCATATTATTATATGTTTTATTATACCCCAATCCCACTCAGCCAAATCCCTCCCCCCTAGCTTTTTTAGATTAGGTACAGTGAACGTTTATATTTTTTTGGGTTGCACTTCTTTAATTATTCTTTACGCTTTTTTCCCCCAATAGTATAAGTGCAACCCCGTGTGCGAAACACGCGGAATATATCGTATTACATCTCTAAATGCGGAAAGCGCACGTTAAATCCTCAATTGAAGAAGAAGAAGAAGAAGTGAAATGCAGGTCACCTTACAAGGCCATAACATTAGTTATAGATATGTTATGAGAAATGTTTAATTCCTATTTCGGAATTTTTCCTGAATAGCTGCAGCCTTAGGGCCCAATTATCCAAATGTCTCTAATCAGGTCTAGATATATCATTGCCATGTCAGTTTCTCCAGCTTGTTTGTGTTTGTGTACACTTTGTTGCGATATGATACATATCTTGATAATAAGGTCGTGATACGGTACACAATAGTGTATGCAGATTTGACACAAGTTTAAACATATTTAGTAGATTTGAGTACAGAAAACAGTGGTTTGGGAATTGATACACATCTGTTCAATAATCGTGGATCCATTGCTGAACTAGGCATATTATTCCGACATTTTATTGGAATAGTGCTGATTGTGGTGCAAAAGAACACACACTCATCTTTATAATTTAATTCGTATATATCTGGGAGGAAACACTGAGTGATCATGTGACATGTTGACATAAGGATCATGATGAAGAGTTTTCCGCTAAAACTGTCATTTTGATATACCGTATTTGACATAATAAGCATCCCGCTCTTATAAGCGCCCACGGCGATATTTGCTAATTATATTGGCCAGTGAACAATCCCAATTAGCACCCCTTCCTATCGATCACTGTACACAAGACATATTTGTTTGTGTATAATACGCCCTTGTTCGTTATATTCACCCTTAATTATGGGCAATTAAATTCTGGAAAAATATATCTGTTGTGTATAATACGCACAGACTTTTCTTTTGTATCATTTCAGGCTGTCAGCATGAACCACGAAATTTACAATCCTCCAGCTCTGTTTTTTTTTCCTCAAAATTTTATTTTAATAAGGGCCCCCTATTAATAATATTGACAGCGCCCTTCCGCTCGTATTACGTCGAATACAGTAACAATTGTTAAAATAATTTTCATTCCATAATCACTTCTATGATATATTCTCAGAATGAAAAATGGACGTCATATTATAATGAAACATTTGTCTGTATTATTTCTAAATCACCTGATATGATCTAAGATAAATGAATACGGTAATACAATTTGCCCCACAATATGTACTATACATGCAGGGGTAGAAATGTCTTTTCCCCACGTGTGACACCAGTACAAGGACATCTGTATAGGTGTGTTATTGGGATTAAATTCAGAGTTGCACCAAGAAGAATACATAAAGTCTTTTTTTTAAAAAATAAACATGATTTCTTTGTGTTCCCTTCAGAGCCTAAGACCTTTAACCATGTCATTACATTGATAATAATGTCATTGGCACCCTAACATGAAGTATTTCAAACCCAGGAGTGTATTATATTCTTGACTTACTTAATTTCCAATGAATCATCTATACATGTGAGAGTCAGTGTATAAAATGAATTAAATTTTCCCTGAGGCAATATACAAAGCACCTGAATGTTTCAGTCATTTCACAATTATTTTTCTATTTATTTTATTATGATAATGAATTCCCAACATTTCTATGTTGCCTTTCATCACCCAATGATAAGACTAAGAGAAAACGAAAGTCAATGCATGTTTGTTTTATTTTGTTAGTTCTAATCATGACATAATTAGTCTGTCTTGATGTTTTTAAGCCCTTTTGATCTTATTACCCGATAATAATTTTTAGTCGCAGTCAAATAAATGGACATATTTGTCAGTCAATTTATGAAATGACTTAAATATTTAGACATTTGTAAACTGCCTAAGTGAATCACATGTTACATATTGACTGACTTGACACATTGACTGTAACATACAAGCCTGTGCAGTGAGAATGTTTTCAGTGCATGTCTGGATCAGACAATGAACTCTATTCTCTCAGCTGATCCGCCCATAAATGTTACATGTTTCAAGTTATCAGACCCTAACGACTTAATCCGCCAACCCTACTGTCTCTATTGTATACAACTAAACCAAAGACACCCTGCCGAAACAACTCAACAAGAGGACTAGAAGCTATATGATCGTGCCTTCTGAAATATCAAATGCATTAAGTTCATGTGGAGTAAAGGCACAGTTGGAGTATGTGATATGATCATATGGTCACCCGTTTGTCACCATTCGTCTGTTAATGCTTGTGATTAACATCATGACATTAACATCATGGTATTAAAATCATGACATTAACATCATGGTATTAACATCAAGACATTAACATCATGGCATTAACATCAAGACATTAACATCATGAGATTAACATCATGGCATTAACATCATGGCATTAACATCATGAGATTAACATCATGGCATTAAAATCATGACATTAAAATCATGGTTTTAAAATCATGACATTAACATCATGGTATTGAAATCATGACATTAACATCATGGTATTAAAATCATGACATTAAAATCATGACATTAACATCATGACATTAACATCATGACATTAACATCATGACATTTAAATCAATGTTGTATACATATTAAATCAAACAAGTTCAAATTATGGAAATGTCCTCAGAAACCACAGGGCATAAACCGTAGGCCACGTACAACTGCATTATTGAATTTAGTTGTTTCTCTATTTGAGAGACAAAATGAACTTGACTGAGAAAAAAATCATGAGCAATATCACTCTCAAGGAAGAGAATATATGGATGCCAACTTCTTTATTATGAGGAACACAACGTTTTGGAGTATATGCTTACTCCTTCATCAGGTCACCAGTAAGCAAATTCTCCAAAACGTTGTGTTCCTCATAATAAAGAAGTTGCCATCCATATATTCTCTTCCTTATGTGTATCACTTCTAAATGCCTTTCAAAGATCTAACATCACTCTCAATAGCCTAATATGGGATGTTTTTTGGGTGTTTTCTGTTATTAAAAATAACTTTGTATATAACAGTTAGGCCATACTGTCAGCTGAGATCAGTGAGACTACATTAAACAGATAATTAATGTATGACAAATAGCGCCAATAACAACCAGACTATCTCAACTTGAAACTATCACCACATGTATTGTCACATGGAGACAGAAGATATGTTTAGTTGACTACACTCACTCTTTGGTTGTCTGACAAGACGGTCACACTAACAATACATGGATTCAAGGGTGGAGTTAGTGGCTCGTCTTTGGAGAAGGATATATACGGAAAAATATTGGCCTTGAAGAATTTAAAGTGCAAAAATCTTGCACCTTGAACAACTTTTATCAAAAAAATATAATTTTCAACTGATCACCTTCATTTAAAGTCAAGGGTAATATTTGTTACATTGCACTCTATATAGGAATGATCTTTTCTGTTTATAAAGACATGATTCATTTCAAATTGTTTACATATATTTGAAGGAGAAAAACAAATATAAATAACAGTTTTATTTATTCAGGAAATTTTGAATACATTTGGTGAGTTCCTCCTAACTGTCACTAC